GACATCCCTTCTAGTTCTTCCAGTTGCTCTTTCTCTGCTCTCGAAGCCGTTCCACTTGGCCGCCTTGCCAAGGTGGCCCGTGACTCGGCCATAGTTTTCAGGGGGAGGTTGGCCCCCCTTTGGAGCTGATTGCGGCTATTCAGGCCCGTGAGATTCTCGATGGGAAACTTGCCGAGACACGGGCACGCCTCCTCCACACCCCGGCACCCCAGCCTTCGGAGTTGCCGGCCGAGGAGATTCGGGGCCGCACTCGCTCCCGCACTGCCGCTCTTCGAGCCTGCAGTGCTTCCACCGTCCTGGGGTCAAGTAGCCCCTCCATGGCGGTTTAGATGCGCGCCCTTTTCTGGAACATTCGCGGCTTCGGCCTTGACGGCCGTCGCCGCCAGCTTGTTGAGTACATCCGGGACGAGCACATTGACATCATAGCCATTCAGGAAACCATGTGCACGGACTTTTGCCTCCCCGAGCTTGACGGGCTTAGCTCCCACCTGTTCGCGTGGCATTGGCTCCCTTCTAATGGGAACAATGGCCACTCAGGTGGCATCCTGTTAGGTGTTAAGGATGCCACCTTTGAGGTGGGAGGTATGGATCGGGGCGAGTTCTTCGTCAGTATGGAGATCTTCGAGCGTGCGCTCAACTTCAAATGGGAGGTCATCATCGTCTACGGACCGGCGGATCACAGCCGCTCCCCGACATTCCTCGCCGAGCTGCAGTAGAAGGTCTTTGCGTCCTCTCTTCCCGTTGTGGTGGGAAGGGACTTTAACCTCATCCGCTCCCCGGATGAGAAGAATAACGACCAGGTTAATCGCCCCCGAATGCAGTTGTTTAACGATTGCATCGCGGAGCTTGGCCTCCATGAGCTAGAGCGCACGGGGGCCCGGTTCACCTGGACTAACCGCCAGGCGAACCCGACGCAGTCTGTCCTGGACCGCGTCTTAGTTTCCCCGGACTGGGAGCTTCGATGCCCCCTGGCCTCAGTTCAGGCTATTACCAGGATCGGATCTGACCATGTCCCCCTCCTCCTCTCCATGGCGGATGAACGCCCCCCATTCCCTCCCGGTTTCGGTTCAAGGCATTCTGGCTCAACCAAGCCAGGTTCCGCGAGGCGGTTGCGGCCAAGTGGGCCGCCGCGCGCGTCTCCCCCCACCGTTCCATGTCCGCGGTCGACTCCTGGCAGTTTTGTGCCAAGCTAGCCTGCCAGTTTATGAAGGGCTGGGGTGCGAATCTTGGCCGAGATATTCGTGAGCGCAAGAAGGCCATCTTAAGCGATATCCAGGCCCTGGACGCCCGGGCAGACATGTCCGGGATCTCCCCAGATGAGTGGATGTTGCGATACGATCTCGAGGACCAGCTCTCGGCCATCTACTCTGACGAGGAGGCCTACTGGCGGTTGCGCGGCACCCAACGTTGGGTACTTCAGGGCGACGCCAACACGGCCTACTTCCAGGTGATTGCCAACGGCCGGCGGTGCCGCAACTCCATTCATTCCTTGTGGGCGGACGACACTCAGCTTGTTCGTCCATCGGACATCCGCGCGCACGTAGATGGCTTTTATAAAGCCCTTTTTACCCCCACCCCTCGGGGTGGGGCTACACTGGCCCCCAATACCTGGTCGGGAGACCAGCTTGTCTCCGCCGAGGCCAATGGCGCTCTAGTGGCAGCTTTCTCGGAGGAGGAAGTCCTTACGGCGATCAAAGGAATGAACCCCTCCTCGGGCCCGGCCCCGGATGGACTGCCGGTTTTGTTCTTTAAAACATTCTGGCAGACCATTAAGCCGGAGGTCATGGCCCTCTTCGATGAGTTCTTCTCTGGGACCATGGACCTGGGGCGCCTGAACTATGGGATCATTACCCTCATCCCTAAAGTCCCTGGGGCCTCGGACATCTGCCAGTTTCGTCCCATCACCGTGATCAACGTGATCTTCAGGATCCTGGCCAAGGGGTACGCCAATAGGATGACCCTGCTTGCAGATTCTATTACCCACCCCAACCAGTCTGCCTTCATACAAGGCCGATATATTTTGGATGGGGTGTTAGTCTTCCACGAAGTCCTCCACGAAGTTCGAGCGAAACACCTCCGCGCGGTGTTCCTTAAGCTCGACTTCCACAAGGCCTATGACACGGTTCACTGGCCCTTCCTTCGGGAAGTTTTGCTTCGGAAAGGCTTCAACGACCGCTGGGTGACACGGGTTATGCAACTCGTCACCTGCGGCCGGACGGCGGTCAACATCAACGGTGAGATCGGGCCCTACTTCCCCACCTTATGCGGGGTGTGCCAAGGAGACCCGTTCTCCCCGTTTCTCTTTAACATGGTGGTCGATGCCCTTGCTGTCATCCTGGATAAGGCCAAGGCCTGCGGCCATATTCGGGGCGTGGTTCCTCACCTTGTTGGTGCGGGAGGGGTCTCCCTCCTCCAGTATGCGGACGACACCATTATCATGGTTGAAGGCTCCACTTCCGACCTGAAGTTCCTTCTTCTATGCTTCCAACAAATGTCTGGACTCACCATTAACTTCGACAAGAGCGAAGTGATGGTCCTTGGCTACAACCCGGACAAAGCCTTGTCCATTGCTGACCGGCTTAACTGCCGCCTGGGCACCTTCCCCACCACTTACTTGGGGGTGCCCATTAGTGACTCCAGACTCACCGTCACGGATCTTCGACCGGCGGTGACTAGGATGCAGCACAGGGTTGAACCCTGGAGGGGCCGCTGGCTGTCGAAGGCCGCCAGGGTGATCCTTATCAATTCCTCGCTGGCGAGCCTCCTCTGGTTCCTCTTGAGCTTCTACTGCCTTCATGAGACCCTCCACCAGGAGGTGGACAAATACCAATCGAGGTTCTTCTGGGCTGGCAAGGATGGTAAACAGAAGTACCACATGGTGGGATGGTCCGACATTTGCAAGCCCAAAGACCAGGGGGGTCTTGGGATCCTCTCTTCCCGACGCATGAACATTGCCCTCCTGACTCGCTGGCTGTGGCGTATTGCCAACGGGGAGGGAGGCCTCTGGCTCACCATCACCCGCAATAAATACCTTCGTGGCCAGCCTCTCGCCTTTTGCCAACGTACGGCCGGTTCCCAGTTCTGCAGTCTGTGATCCAGCTCCTGCCCGTACTACGCATTGGCACCTCTATATCTGTTGGCTCCGGAGCCTCGACCCTGTTTTGGTTCGACCGTTGGCTAGGGGACGCCCCCCTGGCGGTGCGTTTCCCTGAGCTATTTGCCATTGCGGTTGACCCTCGAGTCTCAGTCGAGACGACCCTTATTGACTTAGGGCATCTCGCCTTCCGGCGCCCGTTTGGTCCCCCTGAGGTGGCCGCCTGGGACTCCCTCCTCCAGGACATTGCTCTGCTGCCGATGAAGGTGGCGGAGGACCGGGACGTCCTGTCCTGGCACCTCGAGCCTTCCGGGCGTTTCTCCACGAAGTCCTCATACGGTGCCATTGCACCCTCGTCGGCCCCGGAACCATTTAGCCTGATCTGGGATATCCGTCTCCCGCTGAAGATCAAGATCTTCCTATGGCAATGGATCCGTGGCCGGCTCCCCTCTGGTGTTGAGGTCCTCAAGCGGAATGGCCCGGGTGATGGAATGTGCCCCATCTGTGGCACCGTTGAGGATGCTAACCACATCTTTTTCTCGTGCCACTCTGCCCAGTTCCTTTGGGCCTGCTTCCGCGAAACGGTTGGTGGACAGTGGTGTAATACCAACTTCCCCGACCTGCTTGCTGAGCTTAACGCCTGCCCTGCCCGCTACCGCCATATTAGATGGCTGTGCGTAGGGGTTCTTGCCTGGACGCTTTGGAACATCCGTAATAAGCTTGTTATTCAGAAGGTGCCCCTTCGTCGTGCGACTGACGCAATCTTTAAACTGTGTGGCTACCTGCAGCTTTGGCGGCCGCTTAGCCGCCCCCAGGACCGGGACGTCATCACCGCCCTCCTCTCCGATCTCCGCTCGATGGCGCTCCGCTTGGCTCCCCCGCTGCCGCCTCCTCCCCCTGAGCCTGATTAGTCCGCCTGGCATCTATGTGGTTTGTGGCGTGCGTCTTTTGGTTTTAGGGCTTGTTGTGCTGTGCCCTCAGCTATGACCCTTTGGTGTACCTTTGTGGTTCCTGTGGACCTCCGTGTGTGTGTGTTTGTGGTGTGTTGGTCTGTGTTGGATGTTTATTGTGCGGTTGGCTTTATAATATAAAGCGGGGCGAAAGCCTTTTTCGGTAAAGTTATGGTCGCAAAAACCAAAAATCACTTAATGGTTTGGTCGACTTCTGGTTGCACATATATAACTTAATGGTGCATGCTTGCAATTCTTTTGAACATTACCGGTAGAGCGATAGAAACGTGAAGTTTATTGTATCATTTGGAAGCAGAAGGGAAGGTACAACAACATGATAAGAGTTAAGGATCTTCAGGGGATTTGTTCTGGTCAGTATTATTGGTTGCATGTGTTAGCCTGATTATTGTTAGTAATCACTCATCAGCATCATTAGGTATTCCCCCTCGGTAATGATAATGCATAATCACAAGGTCGTGGGTTCGAGCTGGCTTGTTTCAGCATGCTAGAGCTTGCGACACCTGTGACTCTGAGTAATATGACCCTTGGGAAATAATTACCTGAGACTAATAGGCCATTTAGAGATATCATTACTTCTTGTGACATCACTAGTGTAAAGTTATAAACTAGACAACATTTTATGTGACAGGAAAGCCCCAAATTCCATGTTATTGTTCTGTTGCTTGTAAATAAATACTATGTTTGAGGAGAGAAATCTTTTCTTCGAGTTATGAGAAACCAAGTCAGTTAGTCACTTGTTTAACAAATAATCATTTTATCAGTAAAAATGGTAAAATTCAGAAAATGAAATTGCCAAAATTGTTTCTCTTCGCTTTTTGGTTAAGTAAATTTCTGCACATATCCACAATTGTACATACTACAAAAGTGCTATGATGATGATCGACTAATCCTTTAAAAGGTGGATGGCAATCGCAGGGAACTAGAGCTCAGGCTATCTACAAACTAAGAGCATTGAGAAGAGAAACTCTGTTCTGGATCAATCTCCTGTAAAGAAGTTCTACTCCGCTCTCAAGATCTTCGATACTGCACTCCAATGCCCGCAATTGCTCCTCTTCGAACACAACTTTGCTCTTCTGCAATGTTTTGGAGACAAGAGACCACTTGGGCATCTCAATTTGCTTCGACAAGATGCAGGATGTGGATTCGAGAAGTAAAATGGTGATCTCTCTTGCTTCTGCCATTAGCATCACCATCCTAGAATCATTCTTGTCTGAAGCAGTTTTCTTGCTGATCTTCTTGAACTGCTTTTGTGCCTTCTTGGCTAGCCGGATGTACGCCTTGAATTGGCAAGTTACATCCTCTCCTCTCTTCAGAACCAACAAGAGCTCTTGGACAGTCATCTTCAGCTCCATCAAGGTCTCATGCATGGCGTTGCAGAGGTCGAGCACGACGAGGGACCGTCCAAGCTCGGCCTCCACTGCCACCCTTTGCAGGGTCTTGCAGAAGCTGACTTGGTTGCTGGGTGTGCACATCATCTCTTCAATGCAGCTGTAGATGTCTTCCAGCTTCATCAAACCTTCGCATGCCGTATCGATGGTCACCAAGGGCGAAGAGATGGTTGCGCTCAGGCTCTGGAGCTGCTGCTCTACTTGGGGTTTGTTTGAGCGAGGGCTGGAAGGCGCGCTTGCAGATCTTAGATGGTAAGCCATGCTTGTGGTTTTGAGGCTCTGATGCTACTTTCTTCGGTATGGAAATGGAAGACAAAGGTTGGCAAGACAAGGCCTGCAGTTTGTTGGTGCTCAATCCTTGGCTTCTCTCTGTATTTATAACGGAGCAATGGCATGATGGATAGAGCAGTCGACAGCAGGAATCTCATCCAACTAACCTCCATATGTGTTAAGGTGATCTGTTGAAAGAAACATGGCCACCCAAGGCCCATTCAGACAGACCAGCTTCCTACGTGTTTTTATTTAGCGCAGCAAGTGTGAATCAGTGAGCTTATATCTGCCTGGCATGTCTCGGTCATTGGTTACACAGTGCGCTGCACGAGTGTTCATTGATCTCGGATCTGGATACGGGTTATATAAGATCATGGAAAATTAGCCAAGGAAATGCAATCCGGGTTTCGTGTTGCTGACATGATTAGTTTAGTCTTGTTCTCCGCTGGTTCCCCAACGTTAGGATGAGTTGCAGCACTGGTGTGTTTCAGCAGTCCCACAACAAAAGGGCAGCCATGTAAGTGGATGCAGATTCTTGACTACACGAACAGTATTTTGCTCTGATTTTAATAATATTAAGTTCGCCGTTCGTACGGAAGCATGCTTGGTGCATATTCTAGGATGTACCTCCGGCCTCGACGATGCATGCAATCATATTATTAATTATTCACAAAGACCATACAAGGTGATACATCAATAAGCCTGAAGCCATCATCTTGGCAACGCTGCTGCTATTCCTATCCTCTTGATGAATATGTGCCGAATGTCCGCACGCTGCAAGGGCTATGACCTCCATCTTCCATCGGTCCATCCTCAGAGTAGAACTGATGCATCGACCTTGCCAGGCCTCTCTGTCATCAACGCCACCATGACGCCAGACAACTTCCTCCTCCTACGCGAGTCCATCTTCGCGCATCAGACGCAGAGTCTCCACTGCGCCATGCCGCCGAGACCCACCGTCGACGATACGGTTGATGCCACACCGCTCCACCTACATGCCATCTCGCGTTGACTCCGAACTACCAGCAACTCCACCACCCTGAGCAGTCCCCGACCGACGCCTTCAGGAAGGAACACGACACCAAAGTGCCATCGTCACCCAAACAGAGGAACGGAGGCTTTCACCTGCGCTCATGGCAGAGGTGGGGGACGTAGGATCCACACCGAAGCCACCAAGAAGGGAATCGGCGCCGAGGGCATCAATTTTGGTGCGGCCGCCGCGTCGGCCTGGAGTTTCCCCTGGATCCATGCCCACCCGCCAGATCCGTCCAGGTAGTACTGGCGTCGACCGTAGTCGCTAAGTACCGCAGCCAGCACGAACCAGAATAGATCGAGTCGGAGATGACGCCTCCCATGGAACTCCGGTCGGCCATCGAGAAGCCGCCGCAGCGCCGCTGCCTCCACGGCGCCCACACAGCCGTGGAAGGGCCCCCATCTGCACCCGCGGGTGCCGCCCGCCAGGCAGGCCGCACCGCGCACCACCGGTCGAGGCCGCCGCCTCGAGATTCGATCTGCCAGCCGCCGCTGCGCCATGAGAGCCAGATCCCCACGCCCGCGTCCGCGCACGACACGCGTTCTCGCGTGTCGTACACGCTTATCGCGCAGCCCCAGCGCAAGCTCGTCACGGCGACCACGTGCTCCCACGACGGACACCCCGCAACGCCCGAGCACCGTGAGAAGGAGAATCGGAGTGCCCCGCCGCCGCCGCTGCACGGGCTTTGCCCGGCGGCGCCTGCTGGTGGCGGCGATGGGAGGAAGGTCTGATGAGGAGGGAGTTCGCCTGGCGGCTAGGGTTCCGCCTGGGTCGCCTGCGGGGTGGGCGACACGGGGGACGGGACAGGGTGTAAACTGATCGATGACCCATGCTTGGTGCATATAGGAGAAATGTACTAGTAAGAACAAAATATCTATGTATACCTGTGGTTACAAATATCCTGTTGGAGACTCGTCGGAGCCCGACTTACTGGCCACGACTAAATTTCGTGTTTTGACCTTTTTCTGAAACATATTTGAGATTTGACCCTAGTTTGAAAAAAATTCGAGATCTGACCCTTTTGCTACCGCCAGGGATCTTGGTGGTAGGGTATAACAGCCTACCGCCAAGGTCCCTGGCGGTAGGGTTGCATGCCCTACCGCCAAAAACCTCCTAAGTATTGACCATAGTGTGTGCTCGTGCCTACCGCCAAGCACCTTGGCGGTAGGGTTGTGCCGAAAAAGGGTTTCCCCCCTCTTTGTATACAAAGCAACCAACCGAACCATACAGAGATAGGTGCTGGGCCGGAAGCAGCACATTCACGCCCAAAGGAAACGACGGAGAAAGAGCAAAAGAAACAAATGTCGACTACGACGGATCAACAAAAACGAAGAAGCCTCGCAATCGCAGCGCCCACCGAGATCTTCCGCTAGGCTCCAAGACTCCGAAGTGCCGGCACCTATCAACACCTCCAAGAAGGATCGCGATGATGGCGACGCTGCTGCCAAGGATTTCCCCCGGTACACGACGAGGCGAGAGGAAGGGTAGCCCCCGACGCCCTCACGGAAGGTCAGGTGGCACCCACAGGCGCCACTGCGCCGGTGTCGCCCATGCCGACAGGGGTTTCCTCCGATCCCAACCCGCACCTCGGGCGCTCCGGATCCAGCCACCAAACCAACCACCACCATGCGCCAACGTGGTCATGAGGCCCCCACGCTGTCTCACCACGGCACCGTGAAGTGAGGACAGCGTGACGAAGAATCAGAGCCGGGACTAGGGCATCAGCACCGTCGGCACGCGGGAGGGCCCCACCTCCACCGTCAGCGACGGTAGCCGTTCGGACGCAATAGCAGGAGCACACCAGGCCCGTGGGCCCACAGGCCCGGCCGAGCCCTCGTGGGCCCGTAGAGCTCCTGCCTTCACGCTGCTGCCGGCACGCCATCGGCGCCGACGCCCCATATCCGAGCCGCTCCTCCTCCTCACCGCGCCGCAGACAACGAGGCCACGCCAGGGGCCGGCCCGCTAGGACCCAGATGGGGCCCGTCGGGCCCAGATCTGGGCCGAGGGCACGACATCGGCCACCCTGCACCACCACGCCGCCCCACCGCCAAGGAGCAACGCCGCCACCACGTCCGCCGCCGGCCACCCCACCGGGTCACCGGACCGCAGCCCAGCCGAGCGACACCGTCGTCGCCCCCCTACCCTAGGCCAGGAGGACGCGTGCGCGGGGAGAGGAGATCCTGCCGCCGCCGGCACCCCCCGGGCCGGAGCCGGGGGTGCCCGCCGGCGACGGCAGGGGAGAGGAAGAGGAGGCGAAGCTGAGAGGAGAGGTGCGGGGGCCGCCCCGGCTGCCTCCCGGGGAGGCGACGCGAGGGCGGAAGGAGGGGCGGGGAAGGGAGGGCGGGGGAGGGGGGAGCGGATCCGGGCCGCGTGCCGGCGAGGGCGGACGGATCCCGTCGGAGATGGGCAGGGGAGGTGGCGGCGGCGGCGAGGGTTTGGGGGGTGGGAGCGGGTCACGGGAGCGGGCTCTTTCACAAGAGTGTGGGTTGGCGGTAGCGATGTTTCCTACCGCCAAAGTCCCTGGCAGTAGGCTGTTATACCATACCGTCATAGACTGTGGCGATACCAAAAGAGTCAGATCTCGAATTTTTTTCAAACTAGGGTCAAATCTCGAATAGATTTCACAAAAGGGTCAAAACGCTAAAAATTGCCACTGGCCACTCGTAACGCCCCCTCCAACCAGCACAAGGGAACCCTACCGCGACCCCTCCACCATCCTCTTTGGCCTCCTTACTGCCGACCTCTGCCGTGGTGGCTTTTCCTTGGAGCCGGTGGTTGCGGAGCTCAACCTGTCGGCGCATCCTTTGTGTCTGAGGTCATGGAAGACAGTACAGAGAGGGAGTTCGGAGCTTGAGGGTATCTCGCCGGAGACAAAAGAGATATGGAGGTTGCCCAGCTTCAGGCTCCCGACATGGGTCCTGTGTCGCGCTTATAGTGTACCGATATTGAGTTATTACAATGGAGTATAAGAGCCAGATTGGGTCTACAAGTATTTGTTTTGAACACGCGATTGACGGATCCCATTCTCGGTAAGCAAAATTCCCCTTATCGCCAGAATCTGAAGGGACAAAAGTCTAATCGAACCCCTTTAGGTATCTCTAGAAGCATTATCATCGCTACTAGTTTTTCAGAGATCGGTGCAGCTGGGCGCAGTTCTTTTAGCGAGGATATGAAGAGATATGGTGGTGTGTTAACTGAAGTTAACATTGAGATTTATCGGGTCTTTTAGCTCGCCATGCCAGATATTTGTTTATGTGCTGTCTCTACCCGTAATCCTATAATCATAAAATCTTAAAAAAGGTGGGGTGTACTATTTTTTTACGAAAAGGAAGATGACCCCCGGCTTCTGCATCAGGGGATGCATGCAGCCATTTTATTAATTATTTACAAAGACCTGTAAATATCATTTGTATCTAACAAACATTCTACTGAAAGAGTTGTATCTAGGCACCTAGCCATGTAAATAATGTTAGAGTTTAGCAGAAATGAGAAAATTCAGTGAAATGAAATTGACAAAATTGTTTTTCTTTTGCTTTCCGGTTCAGTGAACTTCCTATACATATCCACAAGTATACATACTGCAAAATTTCTATCATGATTGATTAACGATCCTTTAAAAGGTGGATGCCAACCGCAGTGAACTAGAGCTCAGGGTATATATGAGCTAAGAATATTCAGAAGAGAGACTATGTTTTGGATCAATCTCCTGTAGAGAAGTTCCACTCCACTCTCAAGATCTCCAATACTGTGCTCCAGTGCCTGCAATTGCTCCTCTTGGCACACAACTTTGCTCCTCTGGAATGTTTTGGAGGCAAGAGACCACTTGGGCATCTCAACTTGCTTCGACAAGATTGAGGACGTGGATTCGAGCAGTGACATGGTGATCTCTCTTGCTTCTGCCATTAGCATCACCACCCTAGAGCCGTTCTTGTCGGAAGTAGTTTTCTTGCTGATCTTCTTGAACTGTTTTTGCACCTTGTTTACTAGCCGGACATATGCCTTGACTTGAGAAGACACACCTTCTCCTCTCCTGAGAGCCAACAGTAGCTCTTGGACAGTCAACTTCAATTCCATGAAGCTATCCCGCATGCCGTTGCAGAGATCGAGCACGACGAGGGACCGTCCAAGCTCCGCCTCCACTGCCGCCCTTGAAGGGTCTGGCAAAGGCTGACTTGGCTGCTTGGTGTGCACATCATCTTCTCGATGCAGCTGTAGATGTCACCGAGCCTCCTCAAGCCATCACACATCGTATCAATGGTCGCCGAGGGCGAAGAGATGGTTGTGCTCAGGCTCTGGAGCTGCTGCTCGACTTCAGTTTTGTTTGAGCGAGGCCTCGAAGGCGTGCTTGCCGATCGTAGATGGTAAGCCATGGTTGGAGATTGAAGCTGTGGTGCTGTTTTCTTCTGTATAGAAATTGACGAGAATGGTAGGCAAGACGACCTGCAGTTCGTTGGTGCTTAAGCCTTGGGGTTCTCCCTGTATATATATCAGAGAGGCAGCAGCAATGTCACGATGAACAGAGCAGCCGACAGCAAGAATCCCATCTGCTAACCTCCATAAGAGAGTGTTGCTTTATCTGCTTTAGGTTTGCGTGCCAAACATGAATGAGTTAGCTTATATGCTTGGCATGTCTTGGTTATTGGTAACAGAGTATACTGCACGGGTATTTTGTTTGATTTCGGATCTTGATATGTGATCATGAAGTATTGTTGAAGCAAATACAATACAGGTTTTCTGTTGTTGAGGATGATTTATCTGGTGCTCGCTGATTTTTCAACATTATGATGGGGTCTTGTGCCTGTGCAGCACCGCTGGCGTGTTTCAGCTATCCACAGCAAGGACAACCATGTAAGTGCACACAGATTCTGGACACAACACGCAAGTATAATTCTGCTTTTAATATTAGGTTCTCGTATCTGGCAAGCTGAGATAATTGTGTGAACGAAAATTACCTACGATGCATGCTATGCATAAAATAGAAGCATGCTACTGCGAACCAATCTGTAGTTTGATGGTTAGGTGGACAGTGGTATCCTCAGCCCACCAGGGTTCAAGTCTTGGTGCTCGCATTTATCCTGGATTTATTTCAGGATTTCCGGCGATACACTTTCGTAAAATCTCAAGATGATATGCCAGCTTAGTCTTTCGAAGGTGTTCATAGGGGTAGGATGTGCATGTGTGCGTTCACAGGGGTGAGTGTATGCGCGTATATATGAGCGCTTGTGTCTGTACTGATGTTAAAAAAAGCATGCTACTGATTTTTTTTCAAACTAATCCAATGACGGAAACATGAAGTTCATTGTACCATTAGGAAGCAGAAGGGAAAGTACAACAACATGATAAGAAAGGATTTTCACTGGATTTGTATCGGTTGCTTGTGTTGGCCTGATTATTGTTAGTCATCAGCATCATTAGGTATTCCCCTCGATAATGATAATGCATTATCACTAGGTCGTGGGTTGGAGCTGGCATGTTCCACCTTCCAGATTCTGGAGGCACCATCACTTCTTATAACATCAGTAGTGTAGAACTATAAAGTAGACAACATTTTACTGAACCAAGTCATGTCATCAGGATACTGATTTATATCAGTTGTTATTGTTCTGTTGCCTGTAAGTACATAGTATGTTTGAGGGGAAACCAAGTCGTTTAATCAGGATACTGATTTATATCGTGGGGCATGCACAAATGATAAAATTCAGAAAATAGGAAATTGACAAAATTGCTTTTGCTTGCTATTGAACTTTCTATGCATACACATTGCAAAACTGTTAGGATGGTTGACTAATCCTTTAAAAGGTGGATGCCAACCTCAGGAACTAGAGCTCAGGGTATCTACAAACTAAGAGCATTGAGAAGAAAAACTCTGTTCTGGATCAAACTCCTGTACAGAAGTTCCACTCCGCTCTCAAGATCTTCGATACTGCACTCCAATGCCCGCAATTGCTCCTCTTTGCACACAACTTTGCTCTTCTGCAATGTTTTGGAGACAAGAGACCACTTGGGCATCTCAATTTGCTTCGACAAGATGCAGGATGTGGATTCGAGAAGTGAAATGGTGATCTCTCTCGCTTCTGCCATTAGCATCACCACCCTAGAATCATTTTTGTCCGAAGCAGTTTTCTTGCTGATCTTCTTGAACTGCTTTTGTGCCTTCTTGGCTAGCCGGATGTACTCCTTGAATTGGCAAGTTGCATCCTCTCCTCTCTTGAGAACCAACAAGAGCTCTTGGACAGTCATCTTCAGGTCCATCAAGGTCTCCTGCATGGCGTTGCAGAGGTCGAGCACGACGAGGGACCGTCCAAGCTCGGCCTCCACTGCCACCCTTTGCAGGGTCTTGCAGAAGCTGACTTGGTTGCTGGGTGTGCACATCATCTCTTCAATGCAGCTGTAGATGTCTTCCAGCTTCCTCAAACCTTCGCATGCCATATCGATGGTCACCAAGGGCGAAGAGATGGTTGCGCTCAGGCTCTGGAGCTGCTGCTCTACTTGGGGTTTGTTTGAGCGAGGGCTGGAGGGCGCGCTTGCAGATCTTAGATGGTAAGTCATGCTTGTGGTTTTGAGGCTCTGATGCTACTTTCTTCGGTATGGAAATGGAAGAGAAAGGTTGGCAAGACAAGGGCTGCAGTTTGTTGGTGCTCAATCCTTGGCTTCTCTCTGTATTTATAACGGAGCAATGGCATGATGGGTAGAGCAGTCGACAGCAGGAATCTCTCATCCAACTAGCCTCCATATGTGTTAAGGTGATCTGTTGAAAGAAACATGGCCACCCAAGGCCCATTCAGACAAAGCTGTTGCCTACGTGGTTTTGGTTAGCGCAGCAAGTGTGAAACAGTGAGCTTATATGTGCCTGGCATGTCTAGGTCATTGTCATTGGTGACACAGCTGACTGCACGAGTTTGATCTCGGATCTTGATACGGGTTATATATGATCATGGAAGATTAGCCAAGGAAATGCAATGCGGGTTTCGTGTTGCTGCAATGATTATTTTAGTTCTGTTCTCTGCTGGTTCTCCGACGTTATGATGAGTTGCACTGGTTGCACAGCAGCGCTGGTGTGTTTCAGCAATCCCACAGCAAAAGGACAACCATGTAAGTGGATGCAGATTCTCGACTACACGAACAGTATTGCTCTGCTTTTAATATTAAGTTTAAGCTGGCTATCTTAAATAATTGCTCGCCGTCCGTATGGAAGCACACTTGGTGCATATAGGAGAAATGTGAAAAAAAACACATCTTTCTCCCACCGCCTCTCTCCCTCTCGCGTCGCCCCGCGCGCGACCGCGAGGGAACCCTAGCTGCCGCCGCCGGGCGTCCCTCCCTACTCTCCTCCTCCCTCAGCGCCGCCCGAGGGCGCGGCCGGGCAAAGCCCGGTCGTCACCGACGGTGACGGGGTTCTTTCGTCTCCCCGCGCGGTGGCTTCGGCGCGAGATGCGATAGCTAGTCGGGCAGGCGGCGCTTGCCGGTGGGCGCGGCGGTGCATCAGCGCTAAGGTACAACGGCGGTGTGGGCTGGCGGCGTGACATGCGGCGTGGTGGTGGTGCGCGCGTGTAAGTCAGGGATGGCGTGGCGGTGGCACTCAGATCTAGTCGTCATTCGGCGCGGGGCGTGGGTGCCCTTGGCTGCAGGCGGCCGCCCTCTGCCGTGGCGATCTGCTGGTGGGGGGTGGCGGAGCTGTAGTCCTGGTGTTGTAGGCCAGCGGGTGGTGACGGCGCGGTGGCTTCGTGGCGGCGCGTCCGGATCCGCCCCTGTCGCTGCATGTTGCGGGCGGCATGGGCTGCGGGCAGCCCTCTCGTCGTGGTGCAGCTGCGGCAGCGGGTCGATTTGGTTTCCCTCGTCGGCGGGCGCATGGTTGCGGATGGCGTCGCGGGGAGGTGTGCGAGCTGCCATGGGTGGGCGACACGGCGGTGCTCGCGGGGGAGCTTGGTATGAGGGATGGGTGGCCTCGATGCGGTCGTGCCACCTGTCGCCGACACATTTGTCGGTCCGGATGCGTCCACTCCTCCTCCTCCCCCTTTCCTCGTGTTCGGCGGGGAGCTCAATTGGAGGGATGGGTGGCCTCGATGCGGTCGCGTCACCTGTCGCTGGCATGCGGTGTCGGTCCGGATTCGTCCGCTCCCCTTTCTCCCTCGTTCCTCAGCCGCGGGCGGGTTGGCGCAGATCTACCAGCAGAGCATCTGCGGGTGGATCTATTGGTCAAGGGCCGTCGGTTGGTCCAGAGCCGGGGCCTTTGTGTAGGTCTCGGGGTTGTCTGGTTGCATGGCAGTGGAAGAAGGCATGGCGTTTCTGGGCGAAGCGTGCGTCTCAGGTGCGGGCGGGAAACCATGGAGTCGCGGGTGGTGTGGTTGCGGGTGGTTGACGGAGTTAGGGTGCGATGGTGGGGTGTGAGTGCCAGGGTACACCACTTGCCCAGTCCCCTGATGGTTCTCTTGAGCGTTACAAAGCTCATCTTGTGGCTCGTGGCTTTCAGCAGGAGCATGGTCGTGATTATGATGAGACTTTTGTTCCTGTGGCCCATATGACCACTGTTCGCACACTTCTTGCCGTGGCCTCTGTTCGCCACTAGTTTGTATCTTAGCTTGATGTTAAGAATGCCTTTCTTAATGGTGAGCTGCGTGAGGAGGTTTACATGCAGCCACCACTCGGGTATTCAGTTCCTGATGGCGTGGTCTGCCATCTTCGTCGCTCTCTATGGCCTTAAGCAAGCCCCTCGCGTCTAGTTCGAGTGCTTTGCCTCCGTGGTGACTGCCGCTAGCTTTCCAGCGAGGACTCATGATCTGGCGTTGTTCATCCATCTTTCAGCTCGTGGTCGGACTCTTCTTCTTCTATATGTTGCTGACATGATTATCACTCGTGACGACCCCGAGTATACTGCCTTTGTGAAGGCACGCCTTAATGAGCAGTTTCTTATGTCTGGTCTTGGCCCTCTTCGCTACTTTCTTGGGATCGATGTCTCTTCTACCTCTGATGGCTTTTTTATTTCTCAGGAAAAGTATATCCAGGATCTTCTTGCTTGTGCTGCTCTTACTGATGACCGCACTGCTGAGACTTCCATGGAGCTCAATGTTCACCTCCGTGATACTGATGGTGACCCCTTGTCTGACCCGACGCGTTATCGTCATCTTGTTAGGAATCTTGTCTATCTAGTTGTCACTCATCCGGATATCTCTTATCCTATCCATATTCTGAGTCAGTTTGTCTTTGCTCCCACTTCGATTCACTACAACCACCTCCTTCGTGTTCTCTGATATCTTCGTGGCACGATCTCTCATCGTCTGTTCTTTCCTCGCTCCGGTTCATTACAGCTTCAGGCCTATTTGGATGCTACGTGGGCTAGCGATCTCTCGGATTGCCGTTCACTTTCTGCTTACTGTGTTTTTCTTGGTGGTTCTCTCATTGCCTGGAAGACGAAGAAATAGACTGCAGTTTCCCGTTTGTGTGCAGAGGCCGAGTTGCGAGCTATGGCTCTTTTGACGGCAGAGGTGACTTGGTTACGGTGGTTACTTCAGGACTTTGGTGTTTCAGTCACTACACCTACTCCGCTATTGTCCGACAGTACATGTGCTATTAGCTCTTGGGTCATACGTGAGTTTCGCGCGCCGTCGCTCTCTTCCGGTTGCATGTGTTGACTTGTCTCCTCCGTCACACGTGAGAGGGGGTGTTATAGTATATGTGGATTGCACTAGCCCTTTCCATCTGTTTGGACTTTTGGTTGCGTTGGCTAGTGCATGAAGCTTAACAACATTGAGTTATTACAATGGAGTATAAGAGCAAGATGAGGTCTACAAGCATTTGTTTACCGAAAAAGGCTTTCGCCCCGCTTTAGATATAAAGCAATGATCATCAACAACCTGGTACGAACGCACGCCATCACAACACCCGCACACACCCAAGGCAGGATACATAGGCGCTGAGCGCAGCAACACCACCCCTAGCACTAACGCCACCACGAGGAGATGAAGCCACATACGACGAACTGTAGGCTCCAAGGCGGCGCCTTCAGGAAGGTTACGACACCGGAGCACCACCACCACCCGATCCGAGGATCAGAGTTTCCCCAGGAGCATCACGACGAGCAATGAGAGCCGTGACGACGCCTTCAAGAAGGGAGCGAGCTTCGCCGCCGCCGGTCCGTCCGAAGATAGAACATGTTTTCACCCCGTCCAACACTCACCGCCACCGAACGCCACACCCCGGCAGCCACACCGCCCACACGGCCATGGACACCGGGCAGCACTGAGCCACGGGCTCTGCCCATGAGCACCACGCTACCACCGCCAGCGTCGCCGCCCCAGCAACTAAGACCTTGACACCCCCTCACCCGAAACCTGCTGCTACCCAAAGAGACGAGCAGAAAGGCCCCGCCTTTCGCACCCCTGGCCGCCCCCAGCACCGAGACCCAATAGGTCGGCCAAAACTGGCCTCCATCGACCGTCCTACCGCACCGATCGTGAGACGACCTCGGTACTGCTGCACAGGCGCGAAACAAGCTCGGTCCTGCTGCACCGGGCGCGAGACGACGATGGACTGCAACTGGGAGAGGGCCAACTCTTCAATGAAAATAGTGCCAAGATGACGAGGAGAGGAATCGAAGGCCACTCGGATCGACGTCACTGCCAGGAGCCCCATCCACCACCGCGACACCCGCCACGATCAGCGGGTGCTGCACCTCCTGCGGCGAGGATGAACACGGTAGCAGCCTGCAAGCTCGCGGCGCCCAGATCTGGCCCGCCAGCCCCGGCCTACACCGCCTCGTCCCCACCAACGCCTAGGCATCCACGCCGCCGCAGAGCCCTGCCCGCCGCCCGCCGTGGACTGCCGCCGCTTCCCGCCACTGGGCCTCGCGGATCTGGCGCGCACCGCCGCGCCCCAACAAGGAGAGGAGGAGAGGGGTGGAGGTTGCCCAGGAAGACGCCCCATCGCCGCCCTCTCTGGAACCCGCCCGGGCTTCGCCGGCGGCGGCGAGACGAGAAGGGGGAGGGAGAGGAACTGGCGGCGGCGCTGGAGGAGTCGCCCCAGTGTCGCCAGAGGAGGGTGACCCAGGGGTGTTTTTTTATGCCTTCCACACCTCTCTTTCCTCACAAGTATTTGTTTTGAAGAAGCGATTCACGGATCCCATTCTTGGTAAGCAATTTACGCAACCATTTACTAAGCATGCATTTATTTTGAACATGTAACTCTTGAATGCCCAGACTGCCTTGGTCTTTTGGGCTACAGAAAATTCCCCTTGTCGCCAAAATCTGAAGCGACAAAAGTCTAATCGGGGTATCTCTTGAAACATCATTATCGCTACTTTTTCTTTAGAGAGCGGTGCAACTAGGTGCAGTTCTTTGAGAGAGGATAAGATAGGGTGGCATGTTAACTGAAGTTAACATTGAGGTTTATCGGGTCATTTATCAAAAAAGGCTTTTGCCCCGCTTTATCGGGTCATTTAGCATGCCGTGCCAGATATTTGTTTATGTGTTGGGTGTTGCCTGTACCCGTAATCTTATACTCGAAAGTATTAATGAAGGTGGGGTCTACTATGATAAATATCATTGCTATCTGAC